TTATAAGACTTATTTTAAGGAACAGAAAAGTAGTTCCCTGCATTACCTCTCCCCTTCTATTCTCTTCCTTCTCAAGACATCTGCTTCATTTATTTCTGGTATTTTTTTTTTGCCATTATATTTCTAATACATGTATGCATTTTGTTTCTTATTTGTAATATTATCTTTGACTTCTTACTGGAAGGATACAGTTTGTACTCTTTCAATTCTTCTACCTTGAACCTTACTCTCTTCCATCCTCCAAAATAGGTATAAAATCACATTTTGTCAGGTTAATATCCAGTATTTATATAGGAATCATTATACTGAGCCACACAGTAACTGCATTAATTTTCTTTCTTTCTTTCTTTTTTTTTTTTTTGAGACAGAGTCTTCGCTTGTTGCCCAGGCTAGAGTGAGTGCCATGGGTCAGCCTAGTCACCAGCAACCTCAAACGCCTCGGGCTCAAGGCATCCTGCTTGCCTCAGCCTCCTGATGGGCTGGGACTACAGGCATGCGCCAACCATGCCCGCCTAATTTTATTATATATTAGTGCAATTAATTTCCTTTCTTTTATAGAGACGAGGGTCTCGCTCTTGCTCAGGCTGGTTTCGAACTCCTGACCTTGCGAGCAATCCGCCCGCCTCAGCCTCCGAGAGTGCTAGATTACAGGCGTGACACGCGCCGGCGATCCGGGAATTCTCAACTTTCGAGGATCTCTGTTCTAAATTCTATGTCCTTTTCCTTTCTTGAGTTGGTAGAGTACGTTTCATAGTAGTTCTGGAAAGGGAGTGTCATGAAATTAATTTCAATACACACTGTATTTGTAAGGTACTTTTATTCCCTTTCTAACAATAGTTTGGTTGAATATATGTTCTGACGATTAGAATCATTTTCCTCAACACTTCTCTTTTTTTCTTTCTTCACCATAGAAGATGGAATCAAACCTTCAGAACTTCTTGTCTGTCCCAGCCTGCGGGACCTTCTGTTCACTCCTGGGGTCAAGGAGATCCTCTGCCTGAAAGAGATGGGCAAGAGAAAGGAACGAGACCAAGCAAATGGTGTCAAGCACTACTATCTTAGTAGTAGACGAAACAGAATAAAACAAAAAATGCAGTGGGGGACGTAGTCTGGTTTGGTAATCAGCCAATCAGACTCTTCGTATCGAGTTGTTTGTGAATGATTAACTCACCCCACCTGAGGTCGGTCAGGAACATGCACAGTTACAACTGGCATTGGAACACATTCTTTCGAACTATAGCTGGGAGTGGGGTGTTGTTTTGGTCCTAAATTTTCCGAAGGGCGAGGCCTGTGAGTCAGGACAGGTCATAGGGAGTGAGGGTCTTTGAGGTCCTGCCTCAACATCTCCCCCTCTCTTTTTAATTGAGGAGATTTATATAGTGTGGAGCCTGTCTTTACTACGTGATGGTTTCCGGACCAGCATCTAGGTAAAATACACAAGGTCTTGGTTCAAATAATAGAAATTAAGGACTTGGGGCAGACATAAAAGTTTTGTTTCATTAAAAATTACAAAAGTAATGAATGTTTATTATTAAAAATTCAAACAATAGAGGCAGGGCCCGATGGCTCACGTCTGTAATCCTAGCACTTTGGGAGGCTGAGGTGGGAGGATTGCTTGAGATCAGGAGTTCCAGACTGGCCTGAGCAAGAGCAAGACCCCGTCTCTACTAAAAATAGAAAAAAAATTAGCGTGGTGTGGTGGTGCATGCCTGTAGTCCCAGCTACTCAGAGACTGAGGCAGCAGGATCACTTGAGCCCAGGAGTTTGAAGTTTCTATGAGCTAGGCCAATGCCATGGCACTCTAGCCCGGGCAACAGAACAAGACTCTGTCTCAAAAAAAAAAAAAAAAAAAAAAAATTTAAACAATAGAGATGTATAATGGGTGAAAAGGGAAGTTTTCCACACATACTTCCAACTTTCAGAAATAACAACTTTTAACAGTATGTGTGGCCCCTCCACACTTTTTCTATGCACAAATAAACAAATGGTTAGATGGAGGAGTAGATATGTTTTTTTGGTATTTGGTTTTTGTTCTATAACTTGCTCTATTCACTTAATGTACCATGGACCTCCTTCCATGGCAGTAAGTATAAATGTTATTTCATTCTTTTTAACATCTGTGTAGTTTTCCAAGCATGGATATGTTAAGTAGATAGTGAGGGATTCCAGGTCTTCTAGAGACAAAAGTGGGTGCTGTTGCCCCAATCTTGGTCCTGCCACACCCTACTTGTCCATACATGGGGGAGGAGGGAATACCCCACAAATCTGCCAATCAGAACTTGGAGTGCCAGCTGCAAAAAGAATGTAGAGGATTCTAGCCCATGGGCCATGCAGCATAGGTACCATAGAATCTGGACGTCTAGAACCTGCATGCATAGTTAAGACTCAGGTCATGTGACTCTCAACTGTCCAATCAAAGTGGTTTCATGGTGACATCTGAACCATGGGCAGGTCCATATCTGGGCACTATAAAACAAGATGCAGACCATAACCAATCCCCTCTCTGCACCCTTCCCTTTGCTGAGACGATGGGTCCAGTCATCATCTGTGGCATATGTATTATGCTTTGTAAACCTCTATTTGGCTCTGGCCCTATAATCCTGTCTTTCCTCAATAAACCTCATTTTCATGCTTGTCTAACTTTGGCATGTCTAGTCATTCTTCAGCCATGGGTGTGCTAAGTACCAACATTTCAGACTAAAACCTGACAAGATAGTCTGTATTTCTTGAAATCATCAACCCCACTGAAGTACGGTATTTAATTTTCAGTTATTTAATTCCACTTGGGTCATTAGTCTTTTTTAAAAATGTCATATTTTGGAAAGTTTCACATCTCTTGTGCATGAATTTAAAACAAAATGCAAGCTTTGTGACTTCAGAGTTTCAACGGGAAAGATACCAAATTCACATACAACCTCCATAATAAATCACCTTTGCTTAACATATTTTAAAAATTTAAAGAATATGAAGAAGACAACATTAACTCCCCTCAAAACCTTGCTCCTCCAAGTCAAAAGTTTCATCTGACTGACTTTCAAGTCAGTTGAAAGTAACAACTACTTACCATGGCAACAGTAGGAGCAATGTAGTACTAATAGTGCTAATTATAATTCCAGCACTATGTTAGATTTATTGAACTTCCATATCAAAAATTCTTAATTTTATTACTAAAATGTTCAATAATAAAACAAGAATAATTTTTAAAATTTCAACAAAATTCGACTTAAAGATGAAAGACCTGATAAAAGTTACATTCTTATTTCCAGAGAAGTTAATGGTCAAAATCTTATTTTAACACTTGGCCATTCTGCATTTAGCCAAACAGAATTCAATGAATCTTTGATTTCTATATAGTCATAGAGATGACTGTACATGCACAGAAAAAAGATCTGGAAGGACAAATCAATTGTATGATGATGGTGCTGAAGGTGACAGTAACAATGTGATAATCATGATGATATATAATAGTTAAAATTTACAAAGCACTCTTTATATATCAAACGCTACTTATAAGTTCTTTACATAGTTTAACTGATTCAACATACCAATTCCATGAGGTGAGAACATTATTACAAAGAAACTGAGGAACAGGCCGGCGCGGTGGCTCACGCCTGTAATCCTAGCATTCTGGGAGGCCGATGCGGGCGGATCACTCAAGGTCAGGAGTTCGAGACCATCCTGAGCAAGAGCGAGACTCCGTCTCTACTAAAAATAGAAAGAAATTAATTGGCCAACTAATATATATAGAAAAAATCAGCCAGGCATGGTGGCGCATGCCTGTAGTCCCAGCTACTCGGGAGGCTGAGGCAGAAGGATTGCTTGAGCCCAGGAATTTGAGGTTGCTGTGAGCTAGGCTGATGCCACGGCACTCTAGCCCAGTTAACAGAGCAAGACTCTGTCTCAAAAAAAAAAAAAAGAAAAGAAAAGAAACAAAATTGAGAAATGGAGAGGCTTAGTATCCTGCCAAGGTCACACAGTTGGTAAGTGGCAGGGTTGGGACTCCAGAAGCAGTCTGCTTCTGAATCAAGTTTTAGTCTCTCTCTACACTGCCTCTAACAGCACAGAGTAGGCACCTTCTGGAGAGGTGGTGTCAGAGGAAGGGGGCCTGATGAAAGGCAGCTTTTGCTGTTATAAACCTAATACTTTTTATAGAGTTTTAATTTTTACAGCAATATTTTAATGTATTACTTGACAAAATTTATATTTCACTTACAAGAACTTTATTTATATAAGTCAAATTAACAAACTAAAATAAAATTTCATTTTATACTAAAAAAATTATGATAAACACAGATTTTAATCAGCCTTCTCTTAGTTTACCAAATCCTCCAACCTTTTAGTGTCTGTGGCATTTGAGGCAGGGTCAGAGGCCCTTTCAGTCCATGTTGTTATAAATGAGGACATGTCCAGATACATAAAGAGGTAATTGTGTCCACCCCCTCCCAAAAAGAAAAAACAAATTGAAATAGAATTACCATAAGAATAGAGTTCTAAGAGAAAGGGAAATCTCTTTTCCACCCAGACAAGGGCTAGATCTACCTACCATCATTTTTGGCCTACAGCAGGGTTTGCAAATGCAAATGTTTATCTGGGGAGTCAGGGTTCTGATGGGAGTGTGGGGACTCTGGCAAACTGAAGGGAGCATGCTCATCTAAAGGGGCCAGCTGCTACCCAGCCAAGTGCTGCCATCTATAATTATGGATTCAGTGTAGTTGGATCACCTACTTCTTCTAGAGAAGCCAAAAATACAGATTTTTACATTAAATCTTCTAGATTAAAAAAAAAATTTTCTAAAAATATCATACAGGAAAAAAATGAAACCAAAAAACATCTGTAGCTCTAATTTAGCCAGTGAGCCCATCAGTTTATAACATATAGCTTACACAGACATTTTATTAATATCTCGTCCAAAAAGACCAGTTCTAGGTAACTAAAGTTTTCTCAGAAATTGGTATGTCTCCTTGCAAATTCAATATGCATCTCAGAAGCTTCTAGATATCTAGAATTTCAAACGTTTCATTATTGATTCCCAGTAATTTACAAATCTTGCTAAAATAACTGTCCCACAGCTACAGGAATCCCAGCACTCATACAAACCACACCTCTGCCGCAAAGCTAGGTATCGGAGGTCCAGGCATCCCCTAACAACGAGGCCATAATCCTGAAGGAGCTTGCTGGCATCTTCTGAACATCCCACTCCAACTTTTAAAATGGTGCCATCTGCTAAAATGTCCAATAACGTTCTTGGTAGTGTTTTTCCTCCACAGATCAACTTGGGCAAGCGAACCAAGACACAAAGGCCACTTGGGGAGGCCATTTGTAGAAGTGACAAAGGACTGGCTTTGCCTTCCAAATTCACCTGCAACAGAGGAAGACAGGGCCCACGGTTTACACTCTAGCAGAACATCAAGCACAACATAAAACTCTGGCAAAAAAGTCTAAGAGGCACATCCTTAACTTACCAAACGGAGCATCTGACCAGATTTTGGTTTAAATCTATAGATGAGCCTGTACTAACAAATGCAATCAACAGACTGTGTGAAGCAGCCTGAGCAAAGGTTACCAAGGGCCAAATGCCAGGGCCAGAAATATGAGCAGACCATAAATAGTGACCAGCTGACACAGAATAGCTCTGGAACACACACTGGCAGAGTCCTATGAAATATACTGATTTTTAAAGGTGAAGGAAAAAAAGGTCAAGAAGTGCCAAATGATAAACATACTCTTCAATATCCAGGCTCTCTAATGTACATAGAGGTAGCATTACTCAGCTACCTAATCGTGGACTCAACATCCATTTTTTTTTTTTTCTATTTTTAGTAGAGACGGGATCTCACTCTTGGTCAGGCTGGTCTCGAACTCCTGAGCTCAAACAATCCTCCTGCCTCAGCCTCCCAGAGTGCCATTTTTTTTTTTTAAAAAAGACAGGGGCTTGCTCTGTCACCCAGGCTAAAGTACAGTGGTGTGATAACAGCTCACTGTAACCTCTAACTCCAGGTCTCAAATGATCCTCTAGCCTCGGCCTCCCAAAGTGCTAGGATTATAGGCATGAGCCACTGCACTCAGCTTAAAATCCAATTTTTTAAAAGAGGTAGGAAACATAGTAATGTAAATAAATGGTACCTGCTAATATAATAAATTCTGGTAGTACAAAGTGCTTTCTCAGCATTTTCTAGTCACAAATGGTGTTAATAAAAGAAAAAAAAGTATATTGAGCATAAGTTAGGGCTCTTACATCTTAAGAGATAAAAATAACTTTACATATTAAATGATCTGGGTTTAAGGCGTGGTGACTCACACCTATAATCCTAGCACTTTGGGAGGCTGAAGCAGGAGGATTGGCAGGAGGATTGTTTGATGCCAGGAGTTCAAGACCAGCCTGAGCAAGAGCAAGACCCCATCTTTACAAAAAACAGAAAAATTAGCCGGGCATGGTGGTATGTGCCTATAGTCCCAGCTACCCGGGAGGTTGAGGCAGAAGGATCTCTTGGACCCAGGAATTTGAGGTTGCTGTGAGCTAGGCTGATGCCACAGCACTATAATCCAGGCAACGGAGTGAGACTCTGTCTCAAAAAAAAAAAAAAAAAATATCAAGACAAGACCCTCCACCAGCAAAAATATTTCAACTCAATGAAGGCTCAGAAGATCATTAGCATTTTTTAACAATAAATTATTAATTAAATTATGTACATTTTTTAGACATAATGCTATTGTACAGTTAATAGACTACAGTATAGTGTAAACATAACTTTTATATGCACTAGGAAATCAAAAAGCTCACGTGACTGGCTTTATTCCAGTGGCCTGGAACCAAACCTGTAATATCTCAGAGTTATATCTATACTGTGAAATTAAATGTGATGATGCAAGCAAAACAGTACAGCATACAGCATAGAGTAAACAATGTTTCAAATGTTAACTGTTACCTTTTTAAATCGCAATTTGAGTAATAATTCCCTTTTTATTTCCATTCCTGGGATAAGAATTCCCATTTAAACAAACCTCCTTAACTATATTCTCCATGGCATCCTTATAAAAATGCTATTACAAATATCAATAGTGGCTACTATTTAAGGAACATTTACTATCTGTTAAAACTGTGTTGAAGGCTTCACAGGGGTAATCTATTTGAATCCTTAGAAAAGCCACAGGAGGTAGATACCATTACATCATATTACAAACAAGTAAACTGAAACTCAGGTTAAGTAGCTTGTTCAAGTTCACAGAATGATCAGTGGTGAAAATGGAACTCATACAGGCCTGTCTGACTCCAGAATCCATGACTGTAAGCACTTCCCTATCCTGAGAAGAGCAGCCACTTCTGCTAAAATCTACTTACCAGTAAGTAGAGAACAAGCTAATTCTCCTTTAATCTTATTCTCTACTTGACCATCCCAGGCCCCAGTCGGAAAAGCAGAAGAGATTTTTAAAAATTTTTTGCTTTTTAACTTACCCACTCACAATCGATTCCAAGTACTGGCAAATCTTCTAATTCGCTTCTAAGCAAGGGTGCGATTTGATCCCACTCTGCCTCCTGAGACACAGTCACCACTTTTGCTTTGAGGATCCTTTCCTCCCACGTGGCCGTAAGGGCACTGGAGTGCAGCTGGTCCTCTTCCGGAGGGGGCAGCTCTGTACTGCTTGGCACTTTCTGCTGTTGCTGCTGGGTCACAGGGCTCCATTTACTCCTTCTGCGCTGGATGCCTTTCCAGAGAACAAAACCTCCCACAGCCACACCCAAAAGGGTGGTCACTGTCAAAGCTACTAAGTTCTGTCTAGACATCTTCTTCAATTTTTCTACTGTTTAGGAAAGCAAATCACTAATCCCACAATCTGCAAAACAAATGGCAAAAATATGTTTATATGAGGAATACAAATCTATCTGTAAACAAGTTTTCCCCTAAAAAGTGGGGAAATATAATAATCTCTGTACCCACAAACTAAAATCACTGCTATAAATTTCCACATGAAACAGCAATATTCTAATGTTTTCCTTTGTGTACTCTCTGTACTCCATCTTTATCACTATCCTCACTCCAGAAAAACCCCTGCCCTCTGGCAGTTTCCCAGGGCTCCCTTAATGATATAAAATTATATCAATCAAAACAATAAGTGAGACTCTCACTTCCAACTGCTGTTACTGAATTAACTTTTTAGTCAATGGATCTTCTTCAACGTGTTTGTATTTTAAGCCTTTAATCACCTAACAGTTGAATGAAAGCTTTTACTTCTCAATTAAAAAAAGATCTTAATCATCAGTATTATGGTGGGGAGATTTTTTTTTATTTTTTGAGAAGGTGTGAGCAGCAGGTGAATGGAGGAAACAGGCTTCAGTAAAACACTTTTCTGTTGCTCCACAAGTCTCAGTGGTTCTCCACAGAAACTGATCCAGTTATCGCAGAGTAAGGAAGGGTAGTAAAAAGGGAAAGGAACAGAAAAGAAAAAGGAAAGGGTAGAACTTAGATATCCAACACACCCAGAAGGATGTTGTGAATTGAAATGTCCACAGGGCTAGCAAGTTAATGTAAATAAATGAAACAAGCCACAAAATAGTACCTTTTCCATTTTTCTTATAACATGTGGCTTTCTCCATGTATCTTTTGTTTTCCCACTTTGGAGAGATAAAGGAGTATACAGAGTTATTTCTGTACTATTAAAATAATAATAGTAAAAGGTACAACAATAAATGATGGGTGGCCCTTGGCCTCAAGGACAGGAAGAAAACATGGGGCAACAACCATTCAGCACAAGCTGATAGATCCTGTGCAGGAAGAAGGCCCAGGGTGGTCAGATACTTTGCTTATTGGAGAGAAGTCAGGTATCTGAACTATACATAAAATGTCACCATTTTTAAATGTTACCTATAAATTTACATTTTTTTGTTTCTGTTTTTGAGACAAGGTCTCGCTAGGTTGCCCAGGCTGGTCACTAAATTTATAGTTTTTAAAACTATGGGACCAGCCAAACAAAAACATTCTGGGCATTGGGCTACCTATCTGTGGACTCTGGCTTAAAAATCTAAGCTGCCCAAAGACGGAGCAATCTGCTGAACCCTCCCTATACTCCTCTATAGATGAAAGTGTCCCACTGAATGTATACTTTTTTATCAGCTTTTTAAAAAGATTCAACAAAACATTTTTTTAATTTTTTGAGACAGAGTCTCACTCTGTGGCCTGGGCTAGAGTGCTGTGGCATCAGCCTAGCTCACAGCAACCTCACTCCTGGGCTCAAGCGATCCTCTTGCCTAAGCCTCCCAAGTAGCTGGGACTACAGGTAAGCACCACCATGCCCAGCTAATTTTTCTATTTTTAGTTGTCCAGCTAATTTTTTCTATTTTTAGTTGTCCAGCTAATTTCTTTCTATTTTTAGTAGAGACGAGCTCTCACTCTTGCTCAGGCTGGTCCCGAACTCCTGAGCTCAAGCGAGCCTCCTGCCTTGGCCTCCCAGACTGCTAGGATTATGGTGTGAACCACCACGCCCAGCCTCAACAACACATTTTTAAAACTAATTTCATATGTACAACAACCCTGAAGTATAATCATGACTACAAAGAAATTCTGCTATTAGAGAAGAAAAACAGAATCACAAAAACTATTACAATAGTAATAAGAAATGGTATATAATAGCTACATTGTTTTTAAAATATTTACTTTATTCCAAAAACTGTACTAAGAACATCATACATATTTTTTCCAGTTCTTTTATTGAAGAGGAAACTGAGGCTTAATGAGATTAAGTAACTTGTGTAGAGAGACTTCTGGTTAAAATGATCTGAGAAGACTTAAAAATCCTTCCCTTTCCTACTCTAAACAATAGAAATGCTGGAGAAAACAATAAAAAGATAAAAATTTAAGCTCAACAAAGAAAGAGAAATCATTAAGTGCCAGAAATGGAAGAGAGAACCCACAGTGAGTAGGAAATGAAATTGGGCAGAGACCAGAACTCATACCAGCCCCAGCACTGGGTCTACCACCCCCCAGAGACAGAAATATAGGCCACAGGCTCAGGACACAGCTGGGACTCAGGAGAGTACCACCCTGTCCACCAACAGGGACCTAAAAGTGTTCACACACCTTGGCCCAGACAAGCTACCTGTCCCAGGCTAAGAGTATGAATACAGTCCCTCAAGAGAGAATAAACCCTCAAGCCTTCATTTTGGGCAAGTACAGGGACCAAGTTCACATTTTCCTCATAATCATGTGCCAAGAACTAAATTAAAACTGGTTCAGAATTAGCAAACTCTGTTAAAATCAGAGAGAATCAATCATAAAAATCATTTTGTATGTTTCTACCACATAGGAAACACACAGGACTTTCATGAGAGGTCAATTCCTAGAAGAAGGTTCACAAATAAATCAAAATAAAACAAAACTCTAAAGTCAATAAAAATACTTCATACAGCTATCAAAGACTTCCACACCTGAGATCTAAAAAGGACTTTAAAGTAAGAATATGCAGAGATATTAAGGAA